AGAGAGAGAGAGAGAGAGAGAGAGAGAGAGAGAGAGAGAGAGAGAGAGATTGGTGACTTTGGGACTTGACGACATTTGGATTCAGACTCGACATTGGGATTGAGACATTGGACAAGGGTTGGGACTTGACGACCTTCCCCTCTTCTTCGTCTTGGGGACTGGCGCATTCTTCCTGTGTGAGCGCCAGACCCCTTCACACCATGGAATGATGATGATGTATGTTTGGTCTGCAGGTCGGTTCTTGTTCTGGTCTGCACCTTTATGGTATGCGACAGTTTGGTATCAGAGCAGACCTCTCAATCAGAGGATCCGCCGAATCAAGTAGCCAGCTTGCTTGATCTACTGATTGTTGAATGATTTATTTATTTATTTATTGATTGATTGATTGATTGATTATTAGTAAATCAAGTAGGACTTCGTCAAATCTCTGCAAAAAAAAATTCTCTCTCCTTTATTTTCGCAACTATGGATATTAGCATTTCGTTTTCTGTTTTACTCTGGGCATATTAGGTGAACTAGGGATGTTGTCATATTCTCGGACTGGATATATTCTTCTCTGAAAGTGGAACCTCCAGTCTATTTCGCGCAAATTCTTTTTTCAAGATCGCATTTCTTTGGAAAGCCGAAACTTTGCGGAACCTTGCCTAGTACTCCTCTGAAATGCCTTACTCATAGCCGATCGACAGATATACCAAAAAAAAAAAAAGCGGGGCGTGATCCTCTTCTTTTATTTTTTTATTTTTATTTTATTCTGTTGATTAGGACCGGGAGGAAAGTACAGTTTGGTTGGTTACCTTCCTGCATTTTCCCTGCCACCCAATCCTTTGCCTGCATTTCCAGTTTGGTAAGTGCCACGTCAGCAGTGCCCCGCTGCCATGACGGGTTCATCATTGGGCATGACAGGCCAACTGGCCGGCAAGTCCATTGACGAGTACCATCAGCGGGTTCTAGCTCAGTGGGTTCTAGCTCAGCTCGCATTGATCGAGGCTGAGGTACAGCGCCAGGCGGCAGCCGAGGCTGCGCGCCTACACGCTGAAGCGGCGGCAGCAGCTGAAAAGCAGCGGCTTCAGGCCGAGGCTGACACAGATGCCCAGGCCCGCCGCAAGGATGCCCAGGATCTGTTACCCGGTTGGTTTACACTTGTAACCACCTGCTGTCCGAGTTAGAGAAACAACACCAGGCACTGGCACAACAGCACCAGGAACTGGAGAACCTCCGACGAGCAGTGTGGAACCACAAGGATCTGCACGAGGGTGCTACACAGACACTTGATTCTTGTGTACAGGACTTGGAGCAAGCAGCACCAGGACCAGATGCTGGCGAACCCAGCAGTGCAGCCTCAACCCGCCAATTGGAGGAACGCGTTGACCATGTAATCGCAATGCTCGGCAACATTAGCACCTTCGCCGCACCAGCCACCATCAACGAGCAGCTCGGCACCTTGCAGACCGAACTCAGGCAGCTGCACCAGCCACCCGACAACGATCGCAACACCAGTGCATCAAAGCACTACAAGATGCCGACGTTTCAGATCGAGAAATTTGACGACTATACGCATCAAGACCCAGTCGTCTGGTGGCAAGGCTTTACAACGGAGCTTGGGATTCATGAAGTCCCCGAACATTTGTACATCGTGGCGCTGTTCCTCAACGTCCAGGGTGGATGTCAAATCTGGCTCAACCACATCGCAACCATCCACGGCGTCCCGCTTCCATTGCTCTTACTAGCGCACTGAACGAAGAATTTGAAGCTCTTATGAGAACCGTGAGGTCATCTGCAAACATTATTACTGTCGGGAAATGTAGGTGGTGGGCTGTTCCTACATTGACCTCTGGCAGCCTGTGTATGGAAGGGTCTTTCCGTAGGAATGAGGCTATCGCTTCCATCACGAAGAGGAAGATTGGGGGTGCTAGCGGGTCTCTTTGGTGAACTGACCGAGAAATAGGGTAGCAGTCAGATAGAAAGCCATTGACTTGGACGCATCCTATGGCGTCATTGTACAAAATACGCACCCACTTCCTAAAATCCGGGCCTACTCCCATCTTTTCCATGCTTGCATTAAGAAAGGTTCAGTTGACCTGGTCGTAGGGCTTTTCAAATTGAAGAAAATAATTGTTGTGTTTATCCTTTTTTCTCTGACTTTGTTGGCCGCTTCGTTGAGGGTCAGAACGTTGTCCAAGATGTACCTTCCAAGGATGAAGCCTGTTTGGTCTATATGGAAACATTTGTCTGTCAAGTCTAGGATTCGCAAGGCCAGAGCTTTGGCTAGGATCTTATAGGGAAGGGTTAAAAGCGAAATGGGTCTATAATTCCTTATATCTTCTTTCTCTCCTTCTTTGTACAACAATGTAACAACGCTGCTACTCAGTAGATTTCCCAGTCCCCCTTTAAGCCAGCTGTCGTTGTAGAAGTTCAGCAGATCGCCCCCTAAGAGTGACCAAAATTTTTCCGATAATTCTTTTGTCAGCCCGTCGATCCCTGGTGACTTATTGTTGTTCACCTTGCAGTTCTTCCAAGGTGATGGGCTTGTCCAGAGCTTCTGCTTGTTCCTGAGATATCATTTGTTACAGGTATTGTAGCATCCTAGTGCATGCCTCTCTGGTGCTGGGCAGTGTAGGCATAGGAGTCTTCGTGTGATAAAGCTCTTCATAGAATTCCTTTGCTACAATCAACATTCCTTCGCTGTCTGTCACTGTTACAACTGGACTTGAGAGGGTTTTCAAGCTTTCTATTGTGTTAGCCCTTGAGTTTGCTTTGATTCTTGCGAAGAAATGTTTTGACATTGATTCACTTAGCTCGTATTCGTTCATTCTGACTCTTATTTGTAGTCCCTTTAATTCCCACCATCTCCACATATTGAGTTCTTCTCTTGCCTTTTCGAAAATATCCTTGTACAATGCAGAAGAGGGGGTATCAATCAGATTCGTCTTTGCGATCTTGAGGGCTGTCTCCCGCTAGCTTCCTCTGTTTCCTGTCGGTTGCTAGTTTCCTTAAATTCTGGCCACCGTTTGTGACAATGTAGAGTAACTTTCATGAAACCACTACCACCGACCTTGTGTGGGTAGGTAGGGCCCCCTCAAATTTCGCCAACACTCCTGAACTCCTGATTGAAAGGTCTGACTCAGTAGGAGGGAGTTGTTGAGTTTGTGAAAGCTAGACCCCTTTTTAACATACCGCTCGAAGCTGATTATGAGTTCGATGGGTTTGTGATCCATACCTGGGTACAGTGTGAGGGGAAGGATCTCAGCGCTTTTGGCTGTCCCCATTAGTGTCCCCGAGATCAAGAAGTAGTCAATGAAGGAGAAAGCGGTGTGGCGGACATGGTTCTTCTTAACCAATGCGAAAACTTTTGTCCCTGGATGCAAAGTACGGTAAGGTTCAACTAGATTGTGGTCCAACATCAACTTTTGGACAGGCACCGCCTCCTGAGTGGGCTGACCAGCCGAGGACTTCGATATACGATCCGTGGTGGGGTCTATAGTTGCGTTCCAATCACCGACCAAAATGAACGGCAACAAAGGGGGGATCAGATGTC